TACATTGTTTTCAATAACAGTGTACAGAAGACTAGAAGAAAATTACAAACTTGGAGCAGTCTGAGCCTCAGTTTTGGCGTTTTCATGAGTCTTAATTACGGTTAGTGACTGAATTTTTTACAATTTACCATTACAACAGTTTCTGAAGAATTTATAACAAAAATTAACCATGCAGGAAAATATGTAACACTTGGCAAGTGTTTTTTTTTTGCACATTTCAATTTAATTCTGATTGATTATATATGTTAGCATTACTTTAGTATTTTATAACTAAAAAGAAAAGATTATGCATGGCCTGAGGAACCAAGAGGAGGGGGTATGCCCCTCCTTCCCCTCCCCGATAATATTGCCGATATTAAACTATATACATATGTAATATGATAATTAAAATGAAATTCCCCAACTTAGATTGTTTCTGCGGGCCGAACGTGAAAAAGTTGGTCATGATCAGTTACATAACTGTATCCCAAATTATAAAGTTTAATTTGAATTTAGTTTAATTTTGATTTGTTGTATTCACAGCATGTGTGTAACCAAGTCACTCACCAGCTATAATGATTATAACTTGAGTGATGGTCGGGTAAATAAAAATTCTGTATATAGTAATAGATATCTTTATTTACCATTTAAGATAATACCTGCTTTTTACATAAAAAATTATGAATTTATGAAAATCAACACTATTATGAAATATTTGTAAAATGGAATGACTTTTGTTATGGCGTCGTAAAAAAAGAAAAAGGGGCAGGGGGTTAACTCTGTACTTAATATATTTTAGTTTAGGAAAGGGGATTACCTTGGAAGTATTGTGATACAGACAAGTATATAATGTAGTGGACTAGTGGTAACTGAATTGTATATATACCACAGTAAAATAATAAATTAAAAAAAAAGGTTTTTGCTGATGTCATCCAGTGTTTACTTATGAAAGAAAATTCATATTCAGCTAACATTTTCACCGGTACCACTGAACTAATTTAAGTCAACTAGGTTCAAATAATAAGCATCATTAGAATTACAGCACATAAATTTTTGAAAAGAATTTCTATACTCTTTTTTTTCTTGAAGGGGGGGGGGGGGTTATTGGAAAGAAATGAAAACCACAATTTAGAGTTTTGACAAAACCTAGAACCAATTGACCTTTTTATTACAAGTTTATAAATTTAAAGAATATCTAAAATCAATACCGTCTCAACTTTGTGTTGTATACTTCTGTTTTTAGAATGAAATTCGCCACTTTGAAGCCAAACTCGGAAAGAAGCAGAAACAGAATTGGATGAGCTGATATAGAATTAGACAGGAAAAACGTGTAAATAATACATTTAGTAAAAACGTTAACTTTTTAAAATAAAATGATAAACTAAACCATTGAGATCTCTTGGAATTTAATTGATTCCAATAAACATGCTTTGTATTCATCATCATTGCTCAAGCTCAACTAGAAATGGTTCTTAGTAAGTATCTGAAGGCAAAGCTGTATAATATTATTACATTTTAATTTTATCACTTTTTCAGATTATCATTATGAGAATACATCATTACAGTACAGACCATTGATGCTGGAAGTGAGTGGATAGTGTTACCGGAGACTCAGGGATCCAGAAAATAGATCCATAAATTGTACAATGTATTCATGAAAGTGGATCAAATAAAAATGTTCAATCCAAAAGTAACATTCTTTGTTTGTCTGTTAGCATTTTTTTATTGATGTAAATCTAACAAGCTAATTCAGAGAATTTGTGTCCCCCGCTTAGGGAAAAAGTAAACCATGCGCAGTTCGGGGTGGGGGCGGGGGTGGGGGGGGGGGTCGGATCCCCCTAATTGAATTTGTAGAATTTTTAAATGTATACATGTATACTGAAGCAAATAAAATATGTCAATATTGATATAATGATTTGATTATGTGTATAGAAGGTTCATTTTATGTGGATTATTTATCACAACGTAATGATGATTTTATGAGTTTGTACAAGCTAGACCTCATAATTTTTTTTCATTTCACTTGCTGAATACTATCATTTAGTAAAAAAAAAGAATTTCGGAAAAGAAAAAAAATGATCGTCCGAGAATCGAGCCCGTGACCTCTCGCATGTGAAGCGGGAGACATACCACTGCGCCACGGAACTGCTGTATAATTTCGACCATTATATGCAAATATGAAGTCACATACATGTATATATTCACGTTTGATATCGTCAAAAATTTACACAAAACATGGTGTCTAATTCAACCTTTATTAAACAGTTCTGGTAGATGTGATAGGAATATAAATTCTGCCGAAAACCTGTTTTATACGCAATAACTCTCCTCATGCCCCTGTGCTAAAAATAGCGACATGTAATGCTATAAATACTAATAAAACAAACGGGGCGGGACACTTTGAGAGAGGTCCTAGGGAGTTTTGGTATAAAATACATTGCATAAGCTCAAAATCTTCTTGAAATACCGCCCGGAAATGATAGTGTTACACACAGAGAGAATGTATAAATTTACGACCTTTAACTTTGACCTTTTGACCTCAAAATCAATAGGGGTCTTCATAAGGCCACGGGGAGTTGTCATGTAAAATTTCATTGCAATAGCTCAAATGGTTCTAGAGATACTGTGTGGAAAGGAAAGTGTTATAACAGACAGAATTTGTTTATTTATGACCTTGACCTTTGACTTTTTGACCACAAAATCAATAGGGTTCTTCTTTAGTCCATAGGGAGTAACTGTTGCTATGCTAAATTTCACTGCAAAAGCTCAGAGGGTTCTCGAGATATCGTGTGGAAACGAAAGCGTTCCAGACAGACAGAAAGATGGACGGACGGAAGGACAAACGGACAAACTCGGGAGGGGGTGTGGTTAAACATTAGGGTACGTTGAGAAAAAAGTTGGGTGAGGGATGTCATCCCCCCTACCCAACCCAAACCTGATGCTACATGCCTGATTGACATGGTTTTACTTTATAATTATGTGAGCTGTCATAGTGACTCTCTTTCATAAACAAGAATTATTGTGAGCAAGCTAATAAAATGATACCAACCCTCCTGCTATTGCATTAAATGTTTTTTTATTACAAAAAAGGTCTAAATACTAATTTGAAACCTTTTAAAATTTTGCTAGTGCAGATATACATACCAAAAATGACTATGACAAATACTCAAGTCATAGGTAGTAAAACCGTTGTGTTGAGCACAAACTTTCCCTTCATTCGAAGTTAAATATGTAAATGTGCCAAACTCATATAGTACACTTTTACTGCAGTGACCTTGAAAAAGCTATGTCCTTGAGTCAAGGGCAAACATGTTCAAATGAATTTTGGTCAAGGTAATGACAAACCTACAGCTTAAAAATAATTCCCAAGATGAAACCAAGTCTTTTCATTAGAATGTTACAGAATGGGCAAAGGTTGCACTTTTCTTCTATCAATGACCTTGAACTTGTTCAAATGACCTTGAGTCAAGTTTTTGACACATCTCTCGATCGCAAGCAATCTTAATATCAATTATGAACTTTCAGTGGCACTTCATTGAAATGTTATGGACAAGTCAAAATTTTACATACATATGGATTGGTGAACAAGGTGATTCCTACCCCCCCCCCCCCCCCCTTTTTTTTCCAAGTTTCGTTTGTGAGGAATATAAAATTCCTTTTGAAATTGAATGTGCATTTATTTATTAACACTAGTAAAGTTATGAGTATGCTTTGATCAGAACCAATATGGCCAATATAATGGACACTGAACATGTATTCAAATTACCCCCACCCCTTCAAAAAAGCTTATAAATGCCAGATTTTCACACATTTTAACCATTTGTAACTTTTTTCTGCTAAAGTTGCCTGCAAATTTTATTGTATAGATATGACATATAGATAACCCCTAACAAGATCATACCATTCATTTTTCCAGCAGTGGTTGTAGATTTTGTGAATAAAGTGATAAACATATGTAACTTTTTTCAAAATTAATAAGCATTGACGCCATGTTCTTTTCCCGTTGTCATGGCAACAATATAACTACGGAAATTTTGTTTTTCCTATTTTTTGAGAATAAAGTAATTCCATCTTTTAACAAATAAAGTAACCAAAATACCTTATCTTATCACGTTCAGAAAACATATTCGTAGAAAAATGTCTAAAAATCATTGATTTTCATAAGGATTTATGAACCCGTTGCTAAGGAAATGAATTTCCTTGGATACCAGTCCCTTCATACGTTCGAAAAAAATTTTAATTGTGTTTTAGCATTAGGTAAGACAAAATCTTTCATATACCAAAAGCTTTTGAAAAAATAAAATTTTGACTTTCCATTCAATGCTCGATGCTTGCTGATTTTGACTCTTAATGTTGAAATTGTTGTTTATTTAAGACTTGATATATTTCAAGCTAGTATATACAAAAAACAAAATGTGGCAAGCAAACACCGGTTGAGACCAATTACAATTTACAGGCATTAGCAAAATGTACAAGTCTAGAATGACAAACCTGTATATTAGAAGTTTTGTAACTATAACCATTGCAAACACAATAAGTGGTATAATACATCAAAATTACAATATTCCAAAATACTTGTATGCAAACATACATGACTAGAAAAATCATTGTAAGTGGCAGAAGGTGAGGTCCAAAGGCTCATAGCTCAAATTCTTTTTTATAAAAAATGGGAGAGGTGGGAGGGTTTAAAAAATTTTTCTCAGCCTCCTCACAAAAAATGTCTACTGTCTTACAAACTGTATAAAGTGACGCTAACTCTCGACCAATCAGATTGCAGCATTGAACCTGAGGCTCCCAGCAGGGAAAAATTGCATAGGCCCTTATAATGGTTTACAGTTACAACTAATTTACTACATAAACAATATATATGTTGAACATAACACAAAATGAACACAACTTGCAATATTAAATCATTCGTCAGCATAAAATTATTTACTGTCATAAATGATATTTATGCTTCCTCTTTCCAGCAAAAATTAAATGAACAGTAACCTAGAATACTATAACTTAACACACATGTATATGTTGAAATTGTTGTTTATTAAGACTTGATATATTTCAAGCTAGTATATACAAAAAACAAAATGTGGCAAGCAAACACCGGTTGAGACCAATTACAATTTACAGGCATTAGCAAAATGTACAAGTCTAGAATGACAAACCTGTATATTAGAAGTTTTGTAACTATAACCATTGCAAACACAATAAGTGGTATAATACATCAAAATTACAATATTCCAAAATACTTGTATGCAAACATACATGACTAGAAAAATCATTGTAAGTGGCAGAAGGTGAGGTCCAAAGGCTCCAAAAGTTGAGGAGATTTGCCAAATCTCTGAAACTACCCCACCAGAAGCCACGCATGAATATGAAACAAGGTCTCAACCGGTTAAGCTCCAACTCGAAGAGTATCACAAGCAAACCAAAAAACCTGTTCTAAAACTTCATTCAAATTTTATTAATGACTAGAAGGAAGTACAAATTGATTGAAAATCCCAAAACAGTTTAACTCTAAGGAATAAAACTTAAATTGTGCACTGAGGTATTATATACATTAAGTCACTAGCCCCAAGCAAGTAACAAGTCATTACATGTATACACTTAACTTCAAATTGGGGAATTGTGGTGTTTTACAGTCTTTCATGTTCCAAACAAGAAAAGCTGCTAGCCCCAGCAAGCAACTTTCAGATCACAAATGTCAGGCAACAAAAATTAAGAAAAGCTGCTGGCCCCAGCAAGCAACTTTCAGATCACAAATGTCACGCAACAAAATTTAAGAAAAGCTGCTGGCCCCAGCAAGCAACTTTCAGGTCACAAATGTCAGGCAACAAAAATTAAGAACTGGTTCCATACCCAACAGGAAACAGAATAATCTTCTAACAGATGAAATAAATGAGAGCTACCAGCCCAAGCAGGTAACTTGGCATTTAAGTAAACGGGGTTATATGGCTAAGCAGGGGAAAAGCCCTTGTCATGGTACAATTTGTGGTATCTTACATATTAGAGCGGATATACTTTAAGAAAGCATTTGAATGCCATCTACCCATTGACCTGATTTGGGCATCAGATAGGCCTTTATCTGCTGCTACAGTAGCAGCCCCGATACGAAAACTATGACCCTTATAACGTGAACTATCCAAATTACAAAGGCGTAAGCAACTCCGCAAAGTTCTGTCGAAAGTGGTACGCAGAATGGGTGATCCTGTATTTGAAACAAACATTGGACCTTGGCAATTTGTTCTAACTTTCAAATAATCAGTGGTTGCTGATATAGCCGAAATTTTACAATCACCATGAGCAAAGGAGATGACCTTTGGTACCCCATTAGAGTTATGTTTGAATTTTTTGAAACACACATTTATAGCAGTGATTTTACCCTTAACAGAGGAAAGTGTTACATCTGCTAATTGTATTACATCACTAGCTTTCTCAGGGGCTGCACATATCAGCTCTCCTATTCTAGCAAATGATGAAAATGCAAACAGAAATAGCGCTTTGAACAATGTTTGTGTATACTTATCGTTAATAACATCTGGGATAACGTCAAGAAGACGATTCAGTATATTTGTGGTAATGGGTAAACGAATATCGAATGTATTGCCTAGTCGATAAGCCCCTGCCACTAACTTTTGAATGACAAATGCACGAGTTGGATCTTCAAAGTTCAACATCTTATGAGCATAAGCTATTGCAGACAAATATGTTGATATTGTTCTGGGAGAGAAGGCTTCTTGAAACAAATATGACACAAAAAGAGCCACTGTAGTTACACTGAATGGGACACTGTTGGGTATCTTAAAAGACACAGAGAATGTATCAAATGTTGTCCATGCTCTTTTATAAGTAAGTTTTGTAGAAGGGGCTAATGCAGCTGAGGCCAATTTTGCAATGTTGTCCAAAAGTTGTTTGGCATCAATTCCTCTGGAATTGCTGACGGCTCCCTTCGTGCATCTGGTGCCAAATGTAGAAACTCTTGTACCTGCAACCGAGAAAGACTATCCGCTAGAACATTATTCTTACCCGGTATATGCTTAGCGCGGAAATTGATATTATGTTTCAAACATGTGAGTACAAGATATCTAACCATCTGCATGACCCTATTATCCTTACTTGACTGTTTATTAATGACAGAAACTAATGCTTCATTGTCCGTAAAAAATAAGATGGAGTGATTTGCCCACAAATCTCCCCAAATACACACTGCTAGCACAATTGGATAGAATTCTAGTGTCATGATATTTAAATTTCTCCATTGCTCTGGGAAAGAACCAAAAAACCATCTTGAATTGTAAATACCTGAAAAACCTTTGGATTTTGCCGCATCAGTAAACAACTTCATGGAGTTACTTGATAAATATTGCTCTTCTAAAAACATAGTTTTGCCATTATAACTACTAAGAAATGCAAGCCACATAGCCATGTCTTCCTTACACTCTCTATGAACTGTTAAGAATTTTTGCTCTTCTGAAATTCCTAAAAGCAAATTTATCATACGTCTTAAAAAGGCCCTCCCTGGTAGTATGACTGAGCAAGCAAAGTTCAAGACTCCAATAAGTGACTGCATTTCTTTTACCCTACACTTATCTATGTTTTGAAACTTAGACAACAAGCCTATACATTTTTCAATTTTGTCACTTGGCAAACGGGTCTCTTTAAGTCTAATGTCAATTGTTATGCCAACAAATTCAATGACCTGAGTAGGAAGAACTGTTTTATCTGCAGCTAACGGAATGCCTATATCTTCACATATTTCAAGAAATTCTTTAAATTTTTTCAATGCTAACGGCTTGGACTTTTCAATAAAAAGAAAATCATCTAGTATGTGAACAACCGCCTGAACACCTAATCTGTGGACTGCAATCCACTCAAGGGCAGTACTAAACTCTTCGAAAATTTTGCAGCTAGTGCGGCAACCCATTGGTAAACATCTGTCATAATAATAATTGTCTTCCCAATGAAAACCTAATAACTCATAATCATTCGGGGAAACAGGTAAAATGCGGAAAGCTGATCTTATGTCTGTTTTACAACAAAATGCCCCCTCCCCAATAGCCTTGATATGTGAAATAGCTTCACTAATTCCAGAATAATGAACAGCTGCTGCCTCATCCGTTATTCCCGCGTTCACTGAGCCTTCTTTTCGATCAGGATAAGATAAATGGTGTATCAACCGATACTGATTTGGCAATTTTTTAGGAACAATACCTAAGGGGGAAATTTTCATATTATTAAAAGGTGGTTGACTAAAGGGACCCTTGATCCGACCAGCACTTAATTCCTTGGAAATTTTATCAGAAACAATATCAGGGTGTTCTAATGCTGATTTGAGGTTAGGACTGAATTGATGTCCCCTTTCCCCTGTAAATTCTAGACTGAAACCGTATTTGAAACCATTTATCAAGTACTGTGCTTTATTATTGTCATACCCTTCTAAATAATGTTCTAATCTGTTTATTCTGATGGGAGTGGGAAGATGGTTAATCTTTTTTATCAACAGATTGGGTACTAGTTTTTGTGTATGTTTGTCTTTTGTTGTAATTTGCTCTGTCATTATTTTTCCAACATTGGGATTTTGGGTGGTCTTTGTAGCAAGTTGCACAGATGTGGGGGAATTTGCATTCAGAGTGGCATGATTTTCCTTCATTGAACCTGAAGCAGTACTGACGAAAGGGCTGCTTCCGAAAAGAACCTACACTACCTTGGGAACCTCCCAGTTTTTTCATAAGGGCCCTACTGTAAAGAACTTGATCTATGTGTCTCCATGACAAGGACCTGTCCCCTTGTTTTGCCTTTCGAAAATTAATGTCATAGTGATACCAGTCCCCCCCATCTTTCTGTAATGATCTGATTAAATCCATATAGATGGCTAAATCCTCGTGCAAATCAACCTCAGTATTGTTGAAGTGTCTAAGAACCGAAGCGTAAATACTAAAAGCATCAGTCCACGCTTCGATTGTCAGAAACTTCTTCTTCTTCCCTGAACTCAGACCCACTCTACCTTTGTTTTTTACTGCTAAGTGAAAATCTAAAAACTCTATATCAGAAGGGGGATCTAACACATCTGACATTTCAATGAATTCATTAGCACAAATTTTTTCTTTGATTTTCGTAGATACCTTGGTGTATAAGGGCCTGCCTAGTGGTTTATACATGTCATTATCAAAACTATCTGAAATTACAGAATTCTTTTGTGAACCTGAGATTGATGAGGCAGGTAGTTCTACAACATCCTCTTGGGGTTGCTCTACCGGAGTCTCCTTAGATACGGTTTCCTTTGTGGCATTTGATGTTGTTGTTTTTCCTGACAATGTTTCTGTGGAACTAGAGTTGGCACTGTCACTCAGAGAAGTAGAGTCAGTGGTAGGAGTCTTAGGCAAAACACCTGCTTTTTGAAGCTCCGAAAGGACTGTTGCAGTCACATTTTGTGTTATGTCCAGTACCATTTGGCTTTCTTCTGTCCCCGTTTTTCTCCTCTTTGCAGGCCTTTCCTCCTTGTTCTTTGATCTTTGGGCCCTCCTCATTTTGCAGCTTCCATATAATACTGTAAAATATATGTCTAAATTTACTAGTATGCCTTAGGCCATGAAATGACCCTTGATTCATATCATGCCAAATTACATGGCTTAAAATCTACCCCATCTATATGCATAATATATACTGTTTGAAATGCAGAGAAAGGCATTACAGCCATGAATTTGGCAAGATAAATCAATGCTCATATGCTACCATTATACCAATTGCCACCGTCTTTAACCAAAATCCATGGTCATTACCTAGCTTATCAGATTAACTGATATCATGATAATAAACCAAAATACATGGCTTAAAAGTTAATAATATAATGAACCAAAATACATGGCTTAAACAGTTAACAAATGGATATAATAAACCAAAATACATGGCTTTAAAGTTGATAATATAATAAACCAAAATACATGGCTTAAAAGTTGATAATATAATAAACCAAAATACATGGCTAACAAAGTTGATCGTATAATAACCAAAGTACATGGCTTAAAAAGTTGATAATATAATAGACCAAATACATGGCTTAAAGTGCTGATGATAAACTAAACCAACTACATGGTTAATCGGGTTGATACGATTATAAACCAAAGTACATGGCTTATAGGGTTGATATGGCGATAGACCAAATTACGAGGCTTATGATGTTTGAATAATGTTATGACAAGGATTCCTGGCTGATAATGTCAATATTGGTTTGAAGCCACAATACATGCTTTAAGGTTGATGATGCTGACCAAAATACATGATTAGCATAATGCAAATTCATTGATTCTATTTATTTATTTGATTTTTTTTTTTTTTTTTTTTGAATAATCACTTCCAATTATATAAACACATATCCCATTATATAAGCTTATAAAGAGGAGGAGAATCATAACTGAAATTGGAAATATACATCCCTGTTAATCTTTTGCCAGGTGACGAACAGCATGCATAATTGCCAGCCGTAAACTTCTGTAAAACTTTTTATTCCCAATTCTGGATAAATGTACCCCATCATCACTAATAATCTGCAATGGGCTGTGCATGAGTCTAAGATGTTTCCAATACATAATAGAACTATGTACTTCACACATGTCCTTTAGCATCTGATTGATAATGGTACGCCTTGATTCATAAGTCTGTGCATCTATGTGTCTGGGACGGGTGCGAATGAAGACTTCACAAATAAAAACACTGTCAAGGAAAGTAAACTGCTTCAACAAAGCTTCTAACCACTCTATTAAATCACACGCAAACACCTCTGGTTTCATCCTCACACTACAAATATCATTTCCACCAATTTGTGCAATGATAACACGTGGGCGAAACGACTGTATCACCGAATACACGTTAGCGTCCCTTTGAAATCTGTCTAGCGTGCCCCCGCTGAGACCGCACAGCTTCACAACACATTGCTCCAGATCAAGACCAAAATTTTGTTTTATGTCCTCAGATCGCCCCAAAATACACTTTAATCTTCCAATAAAACTGTGACCGATGATCAATACTTTCTCACGCATAATGTTTTGGCGTACTAATTACACTATGCACAACTACATGCACATCGTTAGTAAACACGAACTTTTTGTACTAGGTGCCTAGCTTGAAATCGTGTGGCGAACTCGTACAACTGGAAATAGATACAATGTTCTTTACCTTTCAAAACAACGGATGGATCCTAAAGATATTATTTCGGGATTCCGCCGTAAACACTGGTTAAATCTTTTTTAAAAAATTTTTCTCAGCCTCCTCACAAAAAATGTCTACTGTCTTACAAACTGTATAAAGCGACGCTAACTCTCGACCAATCAGATTGCAGCATTGAACCTGAGGCTCCCAATGGGAAAAATTGCAATATATATAGGCACAACTTATAAGGGTTTACAGTTACAACTAATTTACTACATAAACAATATATATGTTGAACATAACACAAAATGAACACAACTTGCAATATTAAATCAAAAAATTCGTCAGCATAAAATTATTTACTGTCATTAACAAGGAACATATGCACATATCATTAAGTTCATATAGAAAAGAAATGTTCCTTTCTACCTGTTTTGATGTCATTTACAGTAAAATTAGTCCATATCTAGGAGAAGTGTCATGTAAAAATATTCACATCCCATTTCCAAGAGCATTAATACATGTAAATATGTTCTTAGATAGGAGAACTGTGAACACCTGCACAAAATGCCCCCCCCCCCCCTTTCCGTAAAATTGACAATTTTGAAGTACATGTAGACTAACCAGGGCATGTTTCAAGTTTCCTGAAACTATCCCCTTAGATTGAAACTAATATGAAATAAAATTTTCCCTATCCATTCTCTATTACTATGGAAACAGGAATGCAAGATTTGTTACCATGGAGATAGGAATACCAGATTTTTAACCAAAATGGCTGCGTTTAACGTAACAATATTCCCAAAACTACACTTATTTACTCTTTTATAAAACCTGTGTAATGAGTTAAATGTGAATGTGAACTAAATTTTTTGGCATCTTAAATTTGCATCTTTACGATGTTGCAAAAATATAATGCATTTTGTAACGCTATGTCAAATAATTGCAAAACCTTGTGGCTTTTACTTTTTCAAGATTTGGTCAAACTTGAAAATTTCTGAAATGAAACTAAAAGAAGCAGGACATTCATAATATTTTACTCATTTCAACTTGTTACTTTGTATAATTATTTATTAAATTCATGGGCAACTGTAAATCACATATACTTTGAATGCAGTCAAAAATTTACCCCCCCCCCTTCTGATTTTGTCTTTTAAAACTTATGAAACACGGCTTTAAACTTGAGAAAAATTACATTGGTTTGAAAAAAAATCACATCCTCTTGGGTAAGTTATCTTGGATTTAAACATAAATATCCAACAATGGAAAACTTTAAAACATAGTGTTTGGCATATAATTAATGATTAGGTTTGCAATGGATCTTTTGTATTCTGTAAAGTCAGTTGAAACAATGCCCCCCCCCCCCCCTCCATAAGACACTGTCCCCCACAAGTATCATTTTAAGGAAGTTCTTCCTTTCATTTTACTAGATTCCTGCCAACATCTCATCACACCAACTATATCAATCTCCTTTTCTTTTTTTCACATGTAAATATAAATTCTGAAAACAAGAGAACTTTTCGCTTTTTTTTATTTTTTATATACGCAACATTTGGCAAGGTACAGGATAAAGCTTGATAAGTTCTAAAACATATTGTTATACAGCATAAGATTTGAGGATGCCATCACATAATATGATAAACATGTTCCTATTATATTTGAACTTTGACATCTCAAACACTGATATCTTGAAGACAGTGGGTACAAGTATGTTGAAGTAGGTTGGAATTCAGCTTTCACTTGCCTGGTTTCAAACCTAAAATATGGCATCCCTTCTCAACCTGCAATGGTAAATAATTCCTGCACTTTCCAATATACACTGATTTCAAGCTAATTAAATGTGTATGTAATCCTTTAGAAAGTTGTTTTCTTTATTCAGTATAAGAATTCTGTTACTGGACAGGTATTAAATTTTGTTTTAAAAAAAGAAATAAGCAAGGTTTAAATTTAGATGTAAACTTGAAATATTCTTTAACAATTTAAGGACAGATGATACAAACAAACTTTTGTCAAAGAATTTGAAAATAACAACTAGGGTCATGTTTAAATCAGTAAAATTAATAACTTTCTTCAAGTACTTTTTAATTTTTAATTCATATTTGCATAAAAATGAAATTTGAAGTGAAAAATATTTGTATAGATTAATAAGGATAGTTTCAAGAGGGCAGACTTTTGAACATCACAGAAGGTTTACAATTTCTTAATATTCTAGAAATTTATTAATAGCATCATTAATTTGCAATTAAATTATGCCAAAAAATATATACCAATCCAGGCATCCATTTTTTGTTTGTATCATCTGTCCTTAATTTACCTTCATATTTTAAGAATGGTTACCTTGAAAAGAACAAAATCTAGGCTGTCCACTTTCTTGCAGAATGTACTTGAACTTCAGTCATGGCCTATTTGCTCCTGTTTTGGTTTACTGGTATTACTTTTTCTTTATTCATCTTATATGGTAAATCCTTTGATGGAAAAATGATGAAAATAATTATTTTCCTAGGAACATGATCAAAAGGAAAATTCATTTCATTCATACACATGCCTGAGTATCAAATAATTTGTTTAGAATATTATAAAACATGGTCGGTGTGTATAAAACAAATATCATTATAAATCAGAGGTGAATATTCAACATGTACATGTATATAGTTTTATTATACCCTCCGCTTGAAAAGTGGTAGGGTATACTGCAATCGGTATGTCCGTCTAGCTGTACGTCCATCTGTCTGTACGTCCGTCTGTCTGTTACGCTTTAGGGTACCCATCTCTTATTATCCACAACTCCTCTTATACCACTGCAATGAGTGAGATTTAATGAACCTTTCACAGAATCTTTATTACATATTGCCATTGTGCACCTCCTATTTTACTTTTTGGTTTCGACACATATTTTGGGTTTCCCGGCCACAGTAAAACATGGATTTGTCATCAGTTATAACCATATGGGAGGCAGGGGGTATCATTTAGTGAGCCCATTGCTCACAGTACCTCTAGTTAAATTTTGTCTTAACACTAATACATATATATAAAGTGTACATATATATTTTTTACTGTTTGCTATTTGAAAAGATTATTATTATTCACACAAAATTGAACTATAGATTATACAGTACCGGTACTTCACAGACGAATGAAAGAGTCTATATAAACAAAAATAACTCAATATTTCCAGTGCATTCTTAACCTAGATCTATTTTGTCAATACATATAGTACAGTTTTGGATATATATAATAAATTCAAAGTTTAAAAGATAGAAGCTATTAAATAAAACAATGACATCAAAACAAATTTGCTGTTTTCCTATTTTCTGCTTCTGAACATCACATGACCATATTTTGCTGATATATAGAATACTATTTAAAAAACTTAGCTACTTTATGC